ATGATTGACATGTCAAATATGCAACAAATTTGAAACATCTTCAAACCACCCAGCCAGCCCGACCAAGGCAAACCTCCGAGTGCCGTGGCCCCGTCTGGAGCCTTAGGTAGCTGAAAGCACTCGGCTGAGGAGCGGTAGATATTGCAATGTCCACCTCAGCCGGGAATCTGGTTTCGTCTCAAAATGGCGCGCTGCTTGTGATCTTATGATGGCCGTCAGCCACAACGCCACAAGGAACCAAAAAAAAGACTCGACACCATGCAAGACCAACCTTGACTAATCGTGACTGACCACTCTGTTTTCTACAGTTCTCTGCGCTTCAGCGTTTTGTGGGTGAAGCAATGTTGGCCTCGACCCAGGGGTGATACTGACTGCAATTGACTGCAGGTATTCAACTGTGATTGCCATAGACAATGATTGTGCAGGTATTCGACTGTGGCTGGTCATGAAAGCTCATCAGTTGACCTTCGAGACATTCTGGCCAATCTTCAAGGCCAGCTGGTCACACGCCATCTGAGACATTGTCGTCTCCATCTGCTGGATAGGGAGGTCATGGGCCTCCCATCCCCTGAAGCCTCCTTCAAGCACCACGACGCGCTGCTTGGACGGGCAGCTCTTTCTGAAGAAGTTGGCGACCTTGTTGCTTTGGTTTTCCCCTCCGGAAAATGTCGCTTTTGAATGCTTTTGAAGGGTGGTAAACCATGGTAAACCAATTGAAACCAAAAACAAAAACAGAAACAGTGTATTGCTACAAATGCATCAAGCCACTGTCGGAGCCCTATGCGCCGAATATTGGCAAAAAAATGCCACAATCGGCTGGTGCCGAAACTTCTCCACGTACGTCCCGATCTCTTTCAGCAAATCCATGGCCGGGATGTGTGCCGTGCCTGGAATTGCTCCGCTTGCTCGATCTTGCCCGCGCAGGTCGATCACAATCATATTTTGCTGATTCCTAAGCTTTGAATAGCTTGGGCACAGCAAAGAATTCTAAAATTCTTGGGGCTTGGTCTCACTAGAGCCGCATTATTTTGATTTATTTTGTGAAACCAAAACCAATGCAAAACCAATGCCATACATACTGTACCTGTACCTCCCATGGGGTAAAATAACATGAGAGATCATGAGAGAATCTCTTGGAACCCAAGGCTTGCAGGCTTGCGGCAAAGGCGAGTGGAACAAATGAACATAAATTAATATAAATTAACTATATATACTTGAAAAAAACTTGAAGAGGCTCTGCTCCCAAAACGCTTTGAAATCGATTGGGTGCATGCCCTCCACACCGGCGTCTTTGGGGACTTGACCCTCAATCAGCGGGAGCTCTTTGCGCCGTGGCTTCACCTGCATGGACACCACCTGCTTTGCGTGGGAGGCAAAACCAACTGGAACAAATATGAACAAATTATAACAAATTAACATTTTGATCATTTTGACTCTTGACAAAACCGGAAGAGGCTAAATTCCCAAAAAACTTAAAAGTCGATGCGGCATCCCCAACACACCCGGCCTCTTTGGGAAGCTCCTTGGGAAGCTCCTTCTGTTCTGGAGCCATCACCTTCGTCGCCACAAGCTCTTGGCATCGGAGGACCACCTGATTGGTGCGTCCTTGGTTGATTTGGTTGCGCTGCATAGGGGCAGCATAAACCCAACGTAATGGCCTGGCCACGGGCTTGACCACGGCCTTCACGATGGGCGTTGGCATCGCCACTGGCATCGCCATGGGCCGCACAGGATTCAACTGACGAAGCTGATGCACCTGTCCAAGCCACGGCTGCGCTGGCCACGCATGCGACAGCACCGCTGGCTGCTTGAGCACGGCCTGCTGCAGCACCAAGCGTGGCTGCATCTGCTGCATCGGCTGCATCGGCTGCATCATCTGCATCTGCATGGCTAAAAAGGAAAAAGCAAAGCGCAGAAAAGCCCAAGCTATCCGGTGCTAATGGCTCGGCGTTGAGATGTGGAAGTTGCTGCAGAACGAAACCTATTCGGTTTGCTTCGATCTAAAGATCTCATGATCATGATATCACATGTCTTGCTTTTGGCTCACCCTTTCCCCTTCCTTAAACACAGGGAAAGGACTTTGCTTCAAGACTGCAGTTTTGAACGTATGAACTCATAGGTAAATCCATGTTGATTTCCTTCCGGCAGAATGCCTGTCCAGACTGCTTTTTCCACTTCTATAGATAACTCGCACATGATGTCTTAGGCAGACATTTCCTCAGGTCCCAAACGTAAGGCCTCCAAGCCAAGGCTGCCTGGCGTCAGACTTTACTTGGCAAAAAACAGCAAATCATAGCAAGTCATCGCCATCGCAATCGTCATCGTCATCGTCGTCATCATCATCATCATCATCATGATCCTGATCATGATCATGATCATCATCATGATCATGGGTACATACGCATAGCAGTTCATACTTGGCATCAGACTCCACTTGGCAAAACATGCCAAACCCGTCTTAAAAGGATCATCATCGTCGTCACCATCATCATCACATATCATCACCATCGTCATGAGATGTCATGAGATGTCATGAGTATGCACTAGTCGATCATGGCACATCGCTATACCCTGGCTGCTTTTGGGCTGGGCACAGCAGATGCAACAGGCAGTACCTCTGTTACTAAGCAAATATTGATTAATTAAGCATAATCATATCCTTCAAATATCTTCAAATGATTGACATGTCAAATATGCAACAAATTTGAAACATCTTCAAACCACCCAGCCAGCCCGACCAAGGCAAACCTCCGAGTGCCGTGGCCCCGTCTGGAGCCTCAGGTAGCTGAAAGCACTCGGCTGAGGAGCGGTAGATATTGCAATGTCCACCTCAGCCGGGAATCTGGTTTCGTCTCAAAATGGCGCGCTGCTTGTGATGGCCGTCAGCCACAACGCCACAAGGAACAAAAAAAAGACTCGACACATGCCAGACCAACCTTGACTAATCGTGACTGACCACTCTGTTTTCTACAGCGCTTCAGCGTTTTGTGGGTGAAGCAATGTTGGCCTCGACCCAGGGGTGATACTGACTGCAATTGACTGCAGGTATTCAACTGTGATTGCCATATTTAAGCCTATCACAAGGCATGTGACCAGCTAGCCTTGAAGATTGGCCAGAAATATGTGGAGAAATTTCGGGACCAGCCGATCGTGGCATTCTGCCAATATTCAGCGCATAGGGCTCGGCTCGGTGAGCTGAATACTGGCAAAAACAATGCCACAACCTGCTGGTCCCCAAACTCCTCCACATATTTCCCGATTTTCTTGAGGAGATCCATGGCTGGGATTCGGGCAAGATCGGGCAAGCGGAGCTATTCCAGGAACGGCTGGAATAGCCCCGCTTGCCCGATCTTGCCCGCGCAAATCGACCAGGATCATGCTTTGATGCTTCCTGAGCTTTGACATACCTTGTCTGGTTAGGGTCGCACGATGTTGGGGCAACAAGACACGCCAAAACCAGGAAACCACACCTTCCACAGAGGACCACCTTCGGATTGATGCTGCGTCCTGGGGTGCTTTGGAGCGGGGCCGCATAGACCCATTGCAATGGCTTCACCACGGGCTTGACCACGGCCTTCACGATGGGCGTTGGCATCGCCACTGGCATCGCCATGGGCCGCACAGGATTCAACTGACCAAGCTGATGCACCTGTCCAAGCCACGGCTGCGCTGGCCGCGCATGCGACGGCACCACTGGCTGCCTGACCACGGCCTGCCGCAGCACCAAGCGTGGCTGCATCTTCTGCTGCATCTGCATTCGGGAAAGAACGCAACACAATCTAACACGATGCAGACTCGAAGCTGAATGGCTCGGCGTTGAGATGTGGAAACCTGCAGCACTTACTTCGACCTGAAGATCTCGGGATGTCTCATGTCTTGCTTTTTGGCTGACCCTTTCCCATTCCCTAAAGGCAAGGAACGGATTATATAGGATGATGAGGAAAGGACTTCGCTTCAAAACACTAAACAAATTGTAGCTACGAACTCCAGGAACAAACCCATGTCGTGAAACAACAATAGAACCTTGTCGAAAAATACAAAATTCCTTCCTGAAGTGTGTTTTTCGAATTGATCTAATCTATAGCTCAACTCACAGATCATCTTAGGCAGCTATTTCCTCAGCTGCAGGCCCCAAACCAAACGCCACAAAGCCAAGGCCGCCTGGTGTCAGACTCAACGTGGCAAAAAAATGGCAAACCAGCAAATCATTCTAAGCCTGAAATGGTCAGCATCATGATGATGATCATCATCGTCGTCGTCATGAGTCATGATCCTCATTCAGAACACCATCACCATTGTCATGAGATGTCATGAGTGTGCGCTAGCAGTTGATCATGGTACATCGCTGTACCCTATAGCTGCTTTTGAGCGGGGTGCAAAATAGCAAGACCCCTGCTACGAAGTAAAATGTAAATATACTAATATATGGAAAACGTGTGACAAATCTTGCAACTGTCCTGAAACATCTTCAAACAACTCAGGCAGTCAGTCCTATCAAAGAAACCTCCAAATACCACCGCCCCGTCTGGAGCCTCAGGTAGGTAGATATCGCCATCACGACCTCTACGGGCAAGGACATGTCCACCTTAGCTGGCACAATGGGGGACTGCTGGTGGTGGCCCTCAGTCACAAGGCCGCAAGGGACCAAAGAAAAGACTCGAGACTATTAAAAACCAACTTTGACTAACCATGACTGGCCACTCTGCTTTTTCTACAATTTTCTCTGCGCTTCAGTTTTTTGTGGGCGAAGCAATGTTGGCCTCGACCAAGGGGTGATACTGAGATACTGATCATTTCGCATCACAATGCCGGAAGGTTTAATTGACTATAATTGAAAGAAGTGGAAAGAATGGAATGCAAATGCAATAGTACTGTAACAGGCTGCATTCGAGGCTAAATGGCTCGGTGCTGAGATCTGGAAACCTGCAGCACTACTTTGACCTGAAGATCTCACAATGTCTCAGTGTCTTGCTTTTTGGCTCACCCTTTCCCCTTCCCTACATGCAAGCGGAATAAAGAGATGACTTTGCTTCAAAACTGCAGCTATCAACTTCTGAACTACGGTAGATCCATGCTGATTTTGTTTCTTCAGAGTGCTTTTCCCACTTACCCCATACTTAACTCTACTTAAATTACCGGACTTATCTAGGTCAACTCAGTTTTGGCAGCCGTGTCCTCAGGTCCCAAACGTAACGCCACCAAACCAAGGACCTGGCATCAGACTCGACTTGGCCAAAGGATTGCAAATCAGTCTGAGACAGATAGTCTAAGCATGTCTAAGCCTTATAAAATAATCATCTTCATCATCATCATCATCACCATCATCATCATCATCATCATCATCATGAAATGTCATGAGTAACTAGCAGTGGATCAAGGCACATCACTATACCATCATAGCACATCGGTATAGCCTGCCTATCCTACGTGCTATCGGGCTGTTGGGTGCAAAAGGCAGAACTTCTGTTAGGAAGTAAATATCATGGAAACTGTACATTAAAATACATTAAACATGAAGATTGCAACAAATTTGAAACAATTTGAAACATCTTCAAACCACCCAGCCAGCCCGACCAAAGCAACCTCCGAGTGCTGCTGCCCCGTCTGGAGCCTCAGGTAGCTCAAAGCACTCGGCTGAGGAGTGGTAGATATTGCAAAGATATGCCCACCTCAGCTGGCAATCAAACTGGATCCAAAAATGGTTTCGTCTCAAACGGGATGCTACTTAGGCCCTCAGCCACAACGTCACAAGCTTCAAAAGAAAATCGACACCATTCGAGATCAGCATTGAGCAGCATTGACTCTAACCATGACTATATAACCATGACCACTCTGATTTTTTCTCTGTTCAGTGCGCTTCAGCGTTTTCCCGGCGAAGCAATGTTGGCCTCGACCCAGGGGTGATACTGACTGCAATTGACCGGCAGGTATTCGACTGTGGCTGGTCATGAAAGCTCATCAGTTGACCTTCGAGACATCCTTCCCGGTCTTCAGGGCCAGCTGGTCACACGCCATCTGAGACATTGTCGTCTCCATCTGCTGGATAGGGAGGTCATGGGCCTCCCATCCCCTGAAGCCTCCTTCAAGCACCACGACGCGCTGCTTGGACGGGCAGCTCTTTCTGAAGAAGTTGGCGACCGTGTTGCTTTGGTTTTCCCCTCCGGAAAATGTCGCTCTTGAATGCTTTTGAAGGGTGGTCAACCATGGAAAACAAAAACAGTGTATTGCAAAAAAATGCGAAAAATGCATCCAGCCACCGTCGGAGCCCTATGCGCCGAATATTGGCAAAAAAATGCCACAATCGGCTGGTGCCGAAACTTCTCCACGTACGCCCCGATCTCCTTGAGCAAATCCATGGCCGGGATGTGTGCCGTGCCTGGAATTGCTCCGCTTGCTCGATCTTGCCCGCGCAGGTCGACCACAATCATATTTTGCTGATTCCTAAGCTTTGAATAGCTTGGGCACACCAAAGAATTCTAAAATTCTTGGGGCTTGGTCTCACTAGAGCCGCATTATTTTGATTTATTTTGTAAAACCAAAACATGTAAAACCAATGCAAAACCAATGCAAAACCAACTGTACCTCCCATGGGGTAAAATAACATGAGAGATCATGAGAGAATCTCTTGGAACCCAAGGCTTGCAGGCTTGCGGCAAAGGCGACTGGAACAAATGAACATAAATTAACTATTGCAAACTGTATACTTGACAAAAACTTGAAGAGGCTCTGCTCCCAAAACGCTTTGAAATCGATTGGGTGCATGCCCTCCACACCGGCGTCTTTGGGGACTTGACCCTCAATCAGCGGGAGCTCTTTGCGCCGTGGCTTCACCTGCATGGACACCACCTGCTTTGCGTGGGAGGCAAAACCAACTGGAACAAATATGAACAAATTAATTAACATTTTGATCATTTTGACTCTTGACAAAACCGGAAGAGGCTAAATTCCCAAAGAACTTAAAAGTCGATGCGGCATCCCCAACACACCCGGCCTCTTTGGGAAGCTCCTTGGGAAGCTCCTTGGGAAGCTCCTTGGGAAGCTCCTTCAGTTCTGGAGCCATCACCTTCATCGACACAAGCTCTTGGCATGGGACCACCTGATTGGTGCGTCCTTGGTTGATTTGGTTGCGCTGCATAGGGGCAGCATAAACCCAACGTAATGGCCTGGCCACGGGGACCACGGCCTTCACGATGGGCGTCGGCATCGCCACTGGCATCGCCATGGGCCGCGCAGGATTCAACTGACCAAGCTGATGCACCTGTCCAAGCCACGGCTGCGCTGGCCGCGCATGCGACAGAGCACCGCTGGCTGCTTGAGCACAGCCTGCTGCAGCACCAAGCGTGGCTGCATCTGCTGCATCGGCTGCATCGGGTGCATCATCTGCATCTGCATGGCTAAATAGGAAAAAGCAAAGCGCAGAAAAGCCCAAGCTATCCGGTGCTAATGGCTCGGCGTTGAGATGTGGAAGTTGCTACAGAACGAAACCTATTCGGTTTGCTTCGACCTAAAGATCTCATGATCATGATATCACATGTCTTGCTTTTGGCTCACCCTTTCCCCTTCCTTAAACACAGGGAAAGGACTTTGCTTCAAGACTGCAGTTTTGAACGTATGAACTCATAGGTAAATCCATGTTGATTTCCTTCCGGCAGAATGCCTGTCCAGACTGCTTTTTCCACTTCTCTAGATAACTCACACATGATGTCTTAGTCAGACATTTCCTCAGGTCCCAAACGTAAGGCCTCCAAGCCAAGGCTGCC